TTAGACATATAGTAATAGATAATGTATAATGTAAAAAGTTGTACAAACTGTAACAATATGTTCAAATAAACAGACCTAAGGCATGACCTCACCTTAATTCCAAAAAAAAAAAAAAAATTTAATCTATCAATTTTGTTTAATTTGTCAAATAATATTATAACTTTTTTTCAATCTACTAATTTTAACTCTTATATAATTAAATGACTTTTATAAAGTTACTTACTAACTACTTCTATTAACTAATATTCAGACAATTACTTGAAAATTTTCTTTAATTTATTTTAGCTAAAATTTAATTTGAAATAGTTAATTATAGCATCTAGAAAATAGAAGATGTAATGTTACATTGGGAGCCTTTTTGTAACATAAATATAGTTTAGAAATCTTTAAATTTAGAACTTATATTTTTATATATAATAAAATTTTTACTTAAGTATTATTTTAATAATAATAATAATAATAAATATTATAATACTTAAAATTATAATTTTTTAAATTTCTGTTGACCTTCTCTACCTATTTCGTTTTTCTTACTCAAAAGTGGGGAAATTGACTCACACCCTACAAAAGATCAGCATTGTTTACCACTTCCTTTTTCAGACAGTTACATAATAGGAACACATCAATCACATGTATAGCCTAATATATGGTGTAATGAAGAAATGAAGAAGGATTTAAGTTGGAGGATTATAGCAAATTAGAGATATATAGTAATTCCTAAAATCATGTATATAAAATTTTTACCCCTTTAGCACAGGCTAAAGTGTAATTAGATCCTTGGCACAGGTTTAAAGTGTTAGTGTCCTAAATAGTTACAAATAAGGTGTGCTCCCCGACACTTTTTTTTTTTTTTCTTTTTTCTTCCTGTACCCCTTTTAGTTTAGTTTAGTTTAGTGTTTTTTTTTCTTCTTTTACTTCTCTATAAAAAAGTGTTATCAGATTGTTAATACTCTATTGTAGAGCAGTAGTCGGATGAGCCCCCCAAATCCCTTTTTTTCTTTAGAAATTAGGCAACTGGTGTGGCAGATCGCTTGTAAGTGCTCATAGAAGTAACTGCAGGATGTTGACTCAGCACATTAAGTTTAAAAATGTTTGTGTATATAAACAGAAATCTTAATAAAGAGTATTGGCAAGACTGCCAAAGTGAAAAAAAAAAATAATAATTTTTTAAATTATAAATTTTTTGAAATTTAGTTTTTAGAATATTATATTTTAAAATTTAGTATATTAAATTTAATATTTTTAAAAGTATAATCTTTGAAATATTAATTCAAACATAAATTTTAATAGTAATTACTATACCTATATTCAATTAAGCAAATCAAATTTTAAGATTTAATATAATGCAAATTTAAACTAAAATTTTTTTTAAAACAAATTAGTAATAACTCAAAATTTAAATATAAAACTATTTTTTGTGTTTTAATAAAATTTTTAATTTTAAATTAACTTTAACTTTAACTACAAGATTTATTATTATAAATGAATTTGTTTTAATAATTATATTATATTTGATCTTAGTTATAGTTATAGTTATTTATGGTTACAAACCACTTAAAATTTAAAAAATAAATTATAAACAAATATTTAAAAAAAATTTTTTTTTAAAAAAACCTATAAAATTAAAGAATAATAAAAATTTTTTATCATTAATCAAAAATATTCAAATTAGAATAAAAACTTTTAAGCATAGAGTAAAGATGTTTTTGATATACATATAACTAATTTCAATGAACATTTTTTTAATTCAAAGTTTACAATTACATAGAATCAAAATAAAAAAATATTTATTAAATCTGATATATATAAAAGTACTTTCTCAAAGTTTTGTAATTTAGGATCGTTAATTTTGTCCAATCAATAACAGAAATATCATCGTCCAATAAAAGATTGGAACAAATTAGTAAACTCATAATTTACATTATTCAAAGATTGTTTCCTGCCTACCTGTCTTGTATCACGAAGTCATCAAATTATGGGTAAGTATATGAAATCTAACAATAAGTTTAATTAAACTAAAAAATACATTATAATATAATTTATGTAAACTAAACAGTAGCTTGTTTTTATGAGTAATGAAATTTATAGTCATGATATTTAAGTTGTCAATATTAATGTTCAGAAGCGTTTAAACATTCTTTGTCATTTAAATTGAGAATTGGAACTTGGTACAATCTTTAGATAATTAATTAACTAATTAATTAATTGAAATTTAATATATGCTATATTCACATATGCCGCACGAGAATAATTCTTGATAGGCTAACTTTTATTAATGCGTAAAGTCTTCGATCTGAATTCGAATTTTTATTCTTAGAATTTGATATTTTGTTCTTAGAATTTTACACGATAATTAATATTAGGTAACAACATAAATATCATTACCAAGATTTTTAAAGTATCACAGAAATTAAAGAAACTAAACACATTAAAATAATCATATTAATAATTAGAGTTCATTATTAAACCTAGAATCATTTGAATCTTATTCAATTATCTAAATCTAGAAACATTTCGTTCTGATTGGTAAAAGTTGACCCGCGTTTTACCGCTAATCTTTTCAATTGGTTCCATTTAGAAGTGGGTTTAAATTATTATTTGTTTTTAAATACAAAACAAAACTGACCATTAATGATTTTTTTTATCTTAATTCTTATGACTTCATTGTGATTCAATATGATCAACTCAAAATGGTAACATTTCGTTTAGGTTATTATCATGAGATATTTGAAACAATCCAATTTTGAAAGTCCTTTATAGCCGAATTCGAATTAAGTTAGACGTAGTAACTTTTTTTATGTTAAAAAGCTTTGTTTATTTCATAACCTTCTTTGACAAATTAGTTCTCACCTCATCACCAGACTTTACAAATTCGGATTGATAATCGCGACGTGTTCGCGGAAAACCAGTTCCGCTTACTCAATTACAATTAAAATCATTCAATCAATGAATAATGAATAATGATTCTTTATTAATGAAAAAAAAAAATTTAAAACTCAGGAGAAAAACGCGAACAAGATTCCTTATTATTCAGAAGTGGTGAGATAAAAAAGTTTATACTTTGATAAGATTTTAAAACGTTTAAGGAGAAGTTTACGAAAACTTTGGCTTTAGTTTTACACTTTTAGATAAATAAATGAATACAATAAGTTACGCAGTTCAGCCATTTTCGTTATCATATATAAAACATAAAAAAAAAAAAAATCATCATCATCGATAAGTACGCGTACGCCACGCCACATTCTATCACCGAGGGTAACCGAGGTTGTACAACCGTTCATTCGTGTTCTAGAATAAGTTTAAAATTATTTTTAGAAACAACCTCGAATGAAACAGGAAATCGGGTGACACATGTTTATCTTAATTCTGTACGATGAAGATTTTCCAAACTTTACTAGAAATGGAAAACTTTTCTAATTAAGCCCCGATATCGAATATCACAAAAGGAAATTCAAAAAAAACCTTTTCAAAGCCTCAAACAATTGCATTATTAAAATGTCTTCGGTGCATTATTAATGCGGAAATGGTAAACAGATCATTGTTTGCATTTTTTTTATTTTAAAAGTAAAGACCGAAACTGTGTTTTTTTTTTTTTTTTTTACAATAAATTAATCATCCTTTTTATTATTATTATTATTATTATTATTATTATTAACGAATGAACGAATTTGTTCGTAACTTACGCAAGTACGACGTACTTGCGTACGTAAGTACGTACCAAGTACGTAAAGGTGAGATTATGATTTTACGTAAAGTAATTTTAAATAATGAAAAATTAGATCATTTCAAAAAAGTTTCCAAGAATAGAAAATAACTTTTAACAAGTTTCTCGTTTCAAAAAAAAAAAAAAAGAAATTATCTTCGTCTTTACATACATTCCTACGTACAGTACGTATAAATTTTTTTTTTTTTTTTTTTATAATCGATAATCATATTTTATACTACGTATAACACATGTACATACTTGGTTCATTTTCATTTTTGTAAAGAAATCTTATCATTTCGAGCAATATTTTACGTCAAATAAACACTTTTTTTTTTTTTTTTTTATTTAATTTTTATATTAATTTTTTTTTTTATGCGCATACATTTTTTTATTTGCTTGTGTACAAAAAGAAAAAACAAAACGATAAATAAAAAAAAAAGGTTGTATAATGTACAAAGTGGCGATTGCGATGCAATATGAAAGGAAGAGTACATGGAGGAAAGAAGAGAGAAAAAATCAAAAAAAAAGAGGTAAAAAAATAAAATCGATTTCGTTATATCCGGAGAGAAGGATGTAGAGTATATATTTGTTTTTTCTTTTTTTTTTTTTTTTAAAAAAAAAAAAATAAAATAAAAAATGGTAAAAAAAAAAATTTTTATAGATACAAACTTTATACAAAAAATCTAAAAGCGAAAAAAAAACTTTACTTAACGGCTAGCATTTAAGAAAAGTCTAACGCAAAGATAAAAAAAAACCCAAAGATATCATATATGTATATGGTCAAAGACCCATTTTTTCATATATACACTCATATCCTTACATCCTTCCCTCCCATATAAGAAAACAAAAAAAAATAATAACAAATGCCCGATGAAAGAATATGATAAGAGAAAATAAAATACAATTATATAGAAAAATGTTCATATTTTTTAAAAAAGTTTTTAGAGTTCAAAAGTTCGAGAGGTGAAATGCTTAATGTAATTCGTTTTTGAAATATTCCATTCTTGCAAATATTTCATCGATTGGATTATGAATAATATTATCATATTGATTGTTACCAACACCAGTGTTGGGGTTATTATTGTTTGAGGATTTGGTGTTGATGAAAACGGTTTGGTCTAAAAATGGATTATCATTAAGAAGCATTATCGAAGAAGGATCAATGATTTCTTCCCGAAATGTAGGTGGAAGTTCATTGATATTTTGAAAAGACAAGTGCGATAAATTTGGATTGTTTGGAGATAGCACAACCGGTTGTGATGGAATCATTGCCCATAAATCTGCAAAGCCTTGGAATTGTTGTTGAGGTGTAACTGGAAGTTGAATATCATCATTAGTTCCATTGTTAGAAGTCATCCAGTATGAAGATTCCAAGGCTTGTTGAATTGGCGAAGTTGACGTCAAACTTTGGTAACTATCGGAAACTTTTGTTGTATCTTGTCCGCTTAAAGGATTCATTCGATTTTGTCCTTTATTTATCTTTACTTTGAATGGACCGGGTTCCACCGAGTTTGTGGAAAGTAATGGATTGGACGATTTTCGTCTTTCTCTACGCTTCTTATCATTCTTCCCCTTCTTGTTGGGACGGTATACATAATTGGGATATGCTTTCATATGTTCCAATTTAGTCTTATCAGCTTCTCGTTCCCAATGTAAACGAGTTTCGTTAGATTCACCTCTCCATAAATCCGCAATATATCTTGAAATTTGAGCGTTAGTAAGATGACGATGAGCGGCCAAGATAGCGGGTTGTTTTTCTCTTCTATAGAGAATGAATGCGTTGGGAGGACGGGGAGGACGTTTTTCAAGTTGAGCTTTTGAACATCCAGGTGGAGATTTTTTTCCACTTTCATTCTCATCTGTTGCTGCGGCGCCAGCGGCGATAGAGGACGAATCATTATATGAAGGTTCTGATTCAGAGAATGAGAAAGAAGTAGCATCATAGTTTACTATGTTGTTACTATTCTTAGTTCCAGAAGCACCTATCGAAGGTGTGAACATCAAGAGACCGCAATATTTATTTCTAGCTTCAACGTCCATTTTTTTTTTGCTAAGATTCAAATAAAAAGAATAAGAGGATTAAGATTAGAAATTTGACAAAAAAAAATTTTTATAAACATTGATGGCGCAGAATCCGAAGAAAATACTTACAATGAGGTTGATCACAAAAGGGAAAGTGAGAATATAAATTTGGATATAGTTTATATAGTTTGAAAAAGTTCAAAAACTATCGCCTAGGTAAAAATAAGAAGAGAAAAAGAAAAGTTCGATAATAATGGAACGATGAGAAAAGAGACTTGTTTATATATGTGTTTTTTAAAAAAAATTGTCTTTGAAGTCTATTTTAGCAAATTTTGTTAGACCAGTAGCCACATCACACAACTCATTTTTATAAGTTTTTTTTTATTAGAAATATTATTCTCGTTACACACATTAACGCCACTTGTGCATCATCTCGGCCTTGGAAAAAATGTGTCACAATTCACAAACCCGAGTTCAATTTATAATAACATACATATAATAAAAAAAAAAAAAGAAAAAGACATTATCGTTAAGACAATTGAATTTCTTATTTGAATTTTTTTTAAGATGACTAACATCAATAAATCTTAAGGAAAAAACGGAGGAAATACAAACGTTTTAGAATGGTGTCATTTGATTGTTTAGATATTATTGAAATTTGTCGGCTATTTCTAAAAAATGTCGCCATAAGATCTACTCGAATATGTAGTAATGGGACTTATTGTTTAATAGAACAAATACTTGGATTAATGTTTATTTTTTTGCATGCTTCTCGAATTATAAAGAATGATTGGTAGAATGATTGGTGAGAATAAGTGCACAAGACAATAAACAAGTTAACATTATATTATTACAAAGATAATAGAATGTACGTATGTCTTGTATTTGATAATTTTCAAGAAATAAGTGGTAAAGACAATTGTTGAAAATTCATCATATTCATTTGATAACAATAATCAAAAAACGCAAGTTTAATTATATATTTATTTGAACAATTGTGTTTTATTGTATTTCATATTCATTGATGAGTAAATTGTATTACCAATAAAATTTTAGACGGTTACCAAGTCAGTATAAAATGTTATAATGCTAAAACTAGAATAGTATTAAATGATAAGTTGTTTGTTTATACCTTAAACGTGTGCCTATTTTATTAAATCAAAAATTACTATAATCAATTAATTCAAATAATTAATTAATTTAACAATATTAATCTATTGTATGAAAAAAATAAATATTCTTTACAATATCAACGAATAGCAATGAAACCATTGATTTAAAATCATGTGCATAAAAATCTTGAAAAATATAATATAAAAATTTTATCGTAAATAATCTAGTTAATATGGTTAAATATATTTAATATAGTTTAATATTAAAAATTTTCAGAAAACCTTATCCGTAGTAAATCAAATATATTTTTTTATTTTATTTTTATTTTATTTATTTTTTTTTACCGAAACTACACCATTTTTAAAAAATATATAAAGTGGTTATATGTACATTCGCCCAATTACAAATTATTTACGCAATTAACGCACTGAGAAAAAAAAATATATATTACACTATTACATATGTATCGTAGACCATTCCATCTTAAACATCATGAAGATATCGTGGATCACAAATTTAACAAATATCGGCGTAAATTTAATTAAACTTGCATTTAAAGTTTATAATATTTAACGAATCGAATGAAAATGATTCTTAAAAGGATATTTTAAAAAATATATCGGTAGATCAAGATATGATGATATAGTTTAATAATTCATTGATGCCACTTTTTTAAAACGAAATGAACAAAAATGCACTTGAAAGGAAAAGGCTAGATCACACGTTTCACTTTATGATTAACCAAAGTTTCAATGTTTAACCATTCCCTCTAATATTTTTTCCAATAAACGCATAAATAGATCAGGGTACCCTTACGCCAAATATCAACACCCTGTGCTTAAAAATTGCATTATCATCATCTTCATATTATTAAATTAAGGGATCTATTCCGGATCATAATCCACTTTCGAACGATTCCGATTTTATACATAGATATATGTATGCGCGTATCATGCAATACTACAGGCGAGATACGTAAGCACTTACGTATGTGGCTAATCATCACGATCACCAAAATGAAAAATAAATGCAGATAAAATCATCATCAGCCGCAATGCCCGTTATGCATAAAGTTGAAAATTTTTTGTGGCGATATAAAAATATATATAGCATATATATATATAGCATATATATAAAAGTATATTTATAAAATTTTTTTTCTTTGAATTTTCTAAACTATTACTAAAGCATCGAAATAATTTTAACTGGTTAGAATTACTCATCATGAAACAATTACACAATTCTCGAAATTTCTTTGATTATTAAAACGATTTTTTTTTTTATATATCAGGTTTTTAATTTGAATAGTGTAACATCAACAAAGATTCGAACATGACAAGAAATTTCTGTCTGAAGGTTCAAGTTACACACATAACTATTATCATCCTATGGTTATAAATTATTAAAGATGCTCAAAGAAAATCAATACTAAAAAAAGAATTTATTAAAAATCGGTTAAGGAGGAAAGCTGCATGAATTGTTTGATGAACATCTAAAAAATCAGGTGGGCGCCACAGTTTTCAACAAACATTGTATCATTATTCCTATTAATAACTCGACGGTAACTCCGATTTTAGTTACCATTATCAGCAAGCATATAATTATTATTAGACATACAATGGTCGCCCGTTTACAAAATAATGAACGCCTATCATCATACCATCATCATAAAATATTCTAGGAAATAGTTATTCCGTAGGAGATACGTACGTACGTCTGTATAAGATGAGTAAACAGGACAAGAAATTTGCATAAAAACGGTTAGAAGGTCTTATACCTGCATAGCCTGAGAAAGTTTCACATACTTTTATTCGATAAACTGTAAAAAAAATTCACATCCACGGAGCAAAGATTTTAAAGATACCGACCCGGAAACCTCTAAATCTAGACAGACCGTAAGGGTTATTGCATACAATGTATCCGTTTACCTTCTTTGTATACTACCGTCGTTACTTTTTGTAACACTATGAGGCTAGTGAAACACTTGTGATATTTTGTGTGATTTACAATTGAGCCGTGGCTTAACCGAAACCTAATTCTTTATTTAGAAATTGAAAATTGTTGAAAAGACCAACAGCTCAACCAAAGATCTGACATATGCATACCAATAAAATTAATGATTTTTTTTTTTTTTTTTTTGTACATACGTAGCGCAACTTCGGTTATCTTTTTACTTGCATTTAATATACTGATTTTGGTGTAATATTTTTTTAATAAAAAAATTTTTAAACATTTTTTTAATACTAACTATGTACATAAATGCTAGATACTATTATTACGTACGTATTAATACTAAATGCTAAACATTATTATATGCTAAACATTATTATATGCTAAACATTATTATATGCTAAACATTATTATATGCTAAACATTATTATGTGCTAAACATTATTACGTACTAATTCTTCTAACGTTAAATGCTAAACACTACAAGTGATACAAATGAAAAAAAAATTTGGCGATGAAGATAATTATTAATATCATTTGGATGTTTCGTTGTCATTGCCCCAAAGAGTAAAACTAAAGCTAAACCAAAAAATACAATCATTTTATTATTTTGTAATATATTAAACATATTTTTTATACTTATTATTATTATTATTAGTATTATTATTATTAAATGTTTTACGTATATAATTCTTAGTTTAAAACATTTAAAACGCTTAAATAACATTAACTATTTAAAATAATTTGTTTATTCACTTATTTAGGTATTACATACTTTCTTTAAACAGTTTTACATTGTTTAACATCTCGAAACTGTTACTACTGTACTAATAATTGTTTACCACGCAAAACACTATTTTATTCATTAAACATATTTGGTCATTGTTAAAAATTCACTTTTTGGTAAGTCTTGTTAACTTTTTTTTTGAAAAGTTAAGCTTATCCAATTTTGAATAATAAAATAATATAATTCTTAATAATATTTTTTAATAATGTAAGTGTACAAGAAAAAAAAAAAAAAAAAAAACCTCCTAAGTTCGAAGTTTATTTGTTTTAAAGTTTTCCTTGTTAGCACAAAATAGTCAAAAGTTTTTCAAACCGATTGATGAGCCATGTTTAGATCTGCGTTAAAATGAAAAACGTTGATTATTATTATTATTTTATTCGATGATGACCTTGGCACCATCAGTACGTTTTCCTAACTTATTAGGAAATGATATCAAAGCGAAATTTTTTATTTTCTTTCTTAAAAAAAAAGGGACCCTGCATTTAATTAAAACCACATTTCTTATTGCAGTACTGTAAAAATGTTACTTTAATTGATTTTTTATAATGATCACTAAGGTAGTATGTGGCGTTATTTATATGCGTACACAGAAAGTTATTGAAGCCAATGTAATTACTAAATAAGGATGTGTTCCATGCAATTAATAAAATGTGCATTTAATTAACCTTTGAATGGCTTAAAGGCGAATTGAATACTTAAAAAAAGAAATTCCGTTAATCTGCGCATATATCTGCGTATGTAATGCTAATCAATTTATCCAAAATTTAATACAAAAAAAGATCAAATATTTCGGATGGATGAAAAATTCTACTAACATAGATAAATTATACTTACAATCCACTAGTGATCTGATCACGTAAACAATGGAACATCATCGAAAATGTATACGATATCAGATATATGCATATCATTGTAAATGAGAATTTTAGTAAAATTTAGAAAATCAAGTATGTACATAAGCGCGTGCGTACTTACACTTGCGAGATCAGATGGATATTCTCACTGCGGGCTGTTGCGTTGATAATTTTTGTTTTTACAAATATGGTATATCATCTCTTGAAATCGCCTCCGATTTTAACTATTGTAGATAAGATTTACAATTAATTTTATTGGTTATACCCAACACATGGTTAATTCTAATCTCCATAACAATCAATTTCAATCGGTTTTAGTTTTGGCGAATCCAGGCCATGCTATTACGTATAAATTATAAATATTATAAATGCTACGTATTATAAATGCTATTATAAATGCTATTATAAATGCTATTACGTATAAGTTATTATAAATCCTCTTATTTATTCTCTTACATATCTGATATCTATCTACGTACGCACGCACGCACGTACTGTATAATTATCCGAATTCCGAATTTTATGGTAGTATATCATGAGATTTGTCACTTTGACCTTCTGAATAAATAACATACGCATGTGCCAGGCGATGGTATCATACAGTATACATTCAAAAAATGCTATATCCTCTGGCAAAGCCCTTACGTACTAGATAATAATCAGATATGCTTATAGATCAAAGAAACCAACATATAATGCACAAAAAAGAAAATACCGGTTTTTTTTATTGTATTTCCCTTTAATAGAATTTATCAAAAATATCTCCAAAATTTTAGTGACACATATGTACGTTAAAAAACATTTGTTTTTTTTTCATAGGATAGTACTACTTGGTGGTATGGTAGACTGCATTATTATAATTGACTAAAAAAAATGAAACTTTATACATACGCAGATAATTTATATTAAATAAAAAAAAAAGATAAGTTACGTATACATCATTTTTAAGACTTAACTTAAAAAATTTTGCAGCTAAATTAGGGTTAAAGTTTACTATTAGGTTAAGTTAGAAAGTACTTACTTGATATCAAAACTTCGCAAGGAAAACTTTCTATTAGTGCGCAGAAGGTAGTTTCATACATAGATAAAATGTGAGTTATGATTTTTTTTGCGTTCTTTTGCGTTACACCTGATCTTGAAATCTAATTGGCTGGCGAAATAGTAGCGAAATTTTTTAGGATGATCCAAAAAGTTGACCTGCCTGATTTATCATTAGTATCGGTCAGAATCAAAGAAATAGAATTTGGAACCGGTTTTATTTCTCATATTGTGGTGAGTCGATAGAAACGAATCAAATTTTTTCAAAGTAAATTTTTTTAAAACTTTAAGCAAAGATAACTCAACAACAACCTAATCAAACTTAATCAAACTTAATAAAAAATTTTTTACTAAATTTAATTAAGTTTTTACTAGGTTATTTCTGTTTAAGATTCAAAAAATTTCATTAAAAATGATTTGATGCATTTCTATTGACTCATCACCATATGTTGAAACCGGTTTAACGTTCTTAGGAAATAACGATAAACTTATCTATTAAGTATTGAAACCAGTGTTGGCAATTGGACAATTGAACAATCAACTAATGAATATTCCAATTGTTATATCCTTAATACTATTGGATAATTTGATTTTCCAATTGTTCAATTGCCAACACTGATTGGAACCGTTTAAACATTGTTCATAATCCCGGATAGAATTATGTTTGTAGTGTACTATAATTATTATCATTATAATGCTAGCTAAATTAAACAACTAAACCGGTTAAACGATTAAGGGTAGGGTGTACGTATGCATGTCATTTTTCATGACCAGTGCGGTACAATAAATTTTTATATAATAAATAAAAATACACTACGTACTAATAAAGTTTTTTTTTAAAATGTCAATTGTTATTAAAATTTAATTGCATATAGTTAGAGTAGTTTTATAATAGTAAAATTATAAGATATATATGATTCAAAAAAAACTTATTTTACTTAATAACAAATATTTGTAATAAAATCCACTATGGCAATGATATTCAAAAAGAATATATCTAAATTTTTGTGTCGAAATTTTTTATTTAATAACGAAAAGCTAATCCCCCTTGCGAATTTGAGTTTTTTATGATTTCATGTTTTTTTTCGCCTTGAATTTTTTACTTCGCATTTGTGTTTCACACTGATCTTACAATCGGATTGGATAAAATCACGGGACCACCAAAATTTTGCGCCATCACTTTCGAATTTTCTGACTTTTGTAACACAAAAAATAAATTAGTGAAGTTGAAGTTGAAATTGACCAATTAAATACATTTAATTTCAGCTTCGCCATAATCAACAATGTTTTTTAAATCAAGTTAAAAAAAAAAACATATAAAAATTATTAAAATGCGATTTTCCATCATTTCTACTATCGTTTTTTCAACAGTCCGACAGCCCGCCTTCCCGATTTCATTTTCTCGACTATGAATGGGCAAAGTAATTTTGTAAGTAATAATGACTTATGAATTTATTTCTTACTTAATATTAAGTAATATTAAATAATATATAATGTTCGTAAAAATTACTTATTATTACCTATTGCAAAAAAATTTAGATAATATTAAGTAATAATACATAATAATTTGCCATCATTATCCTCGACAGTTCATTTCCTATTTTGCTGACTTTCTATTACACGATATACCTCTAACCAACGCTAACTATAAAGCGGGCCAACTCTAATCCTAAATTGGGCAGAAGTTGTTGACAAAATGGCTGCGGAGAATTGGATTAAATTTTCCCTGAATAATAAAATCTTATATTCAAAATTAAAAGTCTATACTTCTTTCACTTCAGCGAATATTAGCGAAATTACATTGAAAATATACTTCAGATATCAGCTTTGGTTAATTTAGTTATATATACATACTAATTAAAAACATATCAGAACAGCTTCTGTTGCAGTAATATCAACTCTTGATTTAAATCATTAATACAAGTGACTCTTAATATAAGAAAATCGCCTGGTCCAGTCAAAATATTATATCATAAATTCTCAATTGGGATATCAAGAGTTTCTTACATCGAGAATCACATATATTTGCAAATATACACTATTTGACAATCGTATTAACTATTCTATAAATATTTCTACAATTATTTGTCATTATCGAATCATTTGTGCTTGTAAAAAAATTACGTAATCTTTAGGATAAATGATGCAATGAAGCATTTTCTTACATATAAAAAATATCTTTTGTTATAATTATGTATGTACATACATCATCTAGACAATATCTTATTGTTGCTAAAATCATTTTGTTATCTATGTAATTGGTCATTTTCTTTCTCGTATTGTTTTGAGTTTATTCGTTCATTGTAAGCACTTATCAAAAAGATCAAAAGGTTTCATATTTCTTAACTTTTGTAATACTTGAATGTTTTGCTTTATATGTATTGTCAACAATTAGCATAATAAGCAATAAGTAAAAAAAATAAAATAAAAAATTGTTTATTAAAATTGATTATTAATCAATATGATTTGCGGTATTTAAATTTAAACCCAGTTTCGTAACTTTTTTTTAGAGGTATACTAGGTTCATAGACGTCACTGATTAAAAATTATGATCAATAGGCAATTTAGAACCTCTGAAATGTTCTGGCACCATCATCACGAAAATCACAGTGCTATACCTTTCTGCAAACCGCGGAGCCATGAGATATTCACATTCTATATAGAAATTATATAAAGAGGAATTATGGTAACGTTATTAAGATTGGTCAATTCGATTTCTTATTTAGAGGAATCGAATGGAGCAAATTTTGTTCGCTTCTGATCACGGGATCACGAGATATCCCGATTCCCTTTAAGGTTAAAAGTTTCTTGTTTTTTTAAAAGAAATATTTTTGTGATCCAATGATCAGTATCGAATGATTTTGGTATCATTCGATTCCGTTCGATGAGACGAATCAGATGATACCAAAATCTTTTGATTTCAATTAATGTATCATGTAATACAATCAAAAGTATTTTTTCATATAATAAAAGTAACCATATAAAATAACCAATTTTATGTGTTAAAAAGAGGTAACCTATACTATATCTATTGCGCTTTGCAAAAAGGTGTGACCTCGCAGATCATCGTGTAATGTAAAATCGCGGGAAATCAGACGATTTTTCGATTCTAAGAGAATTAATTATACACATTTCCAAATATATACTATATAGATATCACTGATCGAATATATGATTGATAGAAAATCTAGAATCTTCGAAATTCTTCACTATCATTATCACGAAAATCGTAGGGTCACCCCTTTTTATACTCCATAATAATTAAATTCTCCGAATATTTCTAAATTTCCTGAATATTTCCGATTTCCTGGATATAATGTTATATAGAAAAAAAAATTATAACCAGAATATTTAGAATATTCAGGAATTTAAAAAGGTTTTATATAGGTTTTTGGTTAAATAATAACCTGAAAATCTAAATATGGTTTTTAGTTGCAAAAATACGATAGATTTTGGAATACGTATATATATAGCATAATGTACTACTTATATTACCCTAAAAATAATAATTTGAGAATATGATTTTTAATTTTTTTTTTTATAGGGAGTGAAAACCATGAAGTATAAAAGTCTTTAACAACAAAATGAGAGCTTAAAGGGATGATACTGTATGATAAAAGCAACAGTACAACTGATTATTCTAGTCGGATCGATTAAAAAGCCTAAAGGATTTCTTTTATTGGACTTTCTAGTTTTCACTTAACTGTACTCAAAATAATCTATCAATAATCATATTTTCAATCAATAATATCTATATAGAACAAGCTTTTCTAGGATTCAAGGAATCATATTTCAAGTACTATTAATGACACTTAATACTCAAATACAAGCGTTTGGTATTTTTGCAAAAATGGCAGTTAAAATTTATATAAAATAAGAATGATGATAAAAATAAGATAATACATTAACTAAATAGTAAATAAATTTCAAACAAGAAAATTATTTTTGTAACAGAAAAACATGTTATTCACAATATCTCCAAAATTAGCATAAGCCGTTCATCCATTTCAAAAATTAAAAGTTCGAGAAATACCTTCATTTTATCTATGAAAAGATCCTTACAGTAAGAAACAAGAAAATAATTCCGGTTGAAAAGCTTCTTGCTCTTGAATTTTGAGGTTCTTTATTTGAATTTCCAATTCATTAATATCTATTTTTTTGCCTAAAATTTCTTGGATTTCTTCATCGGTTAACGCATTGGATAATTGGTTTTTAATTTTTTTTCAATAGTTTTCGGGCAAAAGCATTGTTAACTTGTAAAACTTATTGCTAAGCTTCTAATAAAACTTCTAACCATGACTGATTATCTTTGCTCAATTTATTATTAACAACAACCAATTGGGCTCATTAACAACAACTAATTGGGGTACATATTTATCTTTAATAGCAGCTAATTGGTACTCCAAATATTCCTCCTCGATTTTTTTAGTTTTTAATTTTAGATCATCAATATCAGTGCTCTTAACATTTCGAATCGTGCTAATTAATCTTTCTACTTAACTTTTTAATATTTTATCATCGAACATGATTTGTTGATGTTGCTTAAATCAAGATTTTGGTAATTTTCTCTATTGGGTAAACTTAAATAACCAAGATTGGTATAAGAAATTGTTAGAGCAATTAACTTATTACATTTATCGATCTTCAAACTAGTTAATTTCTGATTAGATTTGCTAGAAATACATAATTCTTTCAAATTAACAAAGCTATTAAGATTTAACTCTCCTTCCAAAATGATATTATAGAATTTGTAAGTTGGAGGGGCAGAAACGTTTTTACTTGGATTTGTGCAAGAAGTACAATTAGAGGCTTTCATGACCAATTAAACATTTTCCATAAATATAAAGACATGTTGCTTGTACTCTTTGATCTTCCGAAATCTTTTCATTTAACCATTTCCTTGCATTCACCATGTCTTTACAATACTAATCAAAATTCTTTCTACTATGTTGTTGTTTGAAAACAAGTTAGTGGTGAATTTCCATCTATTTTTATGTGTAAACCTATAAAATTATCTTCATTCGTATCATACCAACTGTACTTTTTTATGTTGAACCCTAGTTATTCTATATGTAATATATATAATTAAAGTCAACAAATCTGATATCGATATTATTTGCATATCGATAACAAATAAAGAGGTAAAACGAATACCTGGATGGTATGATCAGTCTGGTATGGGGGAAGAATTACGAAGATCAGTATGGGGTATATTACAGCCCGGGATTATAGAAGATCAGGAGTTACGAAGATCAGTATGGTACGACTGAACTGACTAGATCTAAGACCCTGGTCACCAACTTCAAAATTTTCTCCAAAAAAATTTTTGCAGCTAAATTAGGTTTAGAGTTTACTATTAAGTTAGGTTAGAAAGCGCAAGGAAATCCTTTATTAGTACACAGAAGGCAATTCATAACTGTCCTACCTTAAAATTTTCGCTGGCCAAACAGATTTTAAGTTCAAGCACTACGCAGAAGAAACGTAAAAAATCGTTCATATATCAATATTTTACCTATGAAATCACCTTCTGCGCATTAACAAAAATTTTTTCTTGCAAAATTTTGGTTCTTCTTAATCTAAATTAATAGCAAAATCTAACTCTAATATAGCAGCGAAATTTTCTTAGCGAAATTTTTTAGGTTGGTAAGTGCTAGGACGATCCAACCCGAGAATTTGGTGATCCTCCTGTAAAAATTACTAATATATGCATCTGATTTGTCACGCTGCTACGTAAGGTATTTGGAAAACAATTTATCCAATGCATTGAGATAATCTACATAGGATAGAAAGTATTGTAAAAAATGAAAAAGAGAAATAAAAAAATGTCGCAATAAAAAATTTTCATTTATAGCGGTTTGCAAAAAAGGTATGACCCCACAATTTTCGTGATAATGATAGTGAAGAATTTCGAATATTCTAGATTTTCTATCAATCATATATTCGATCAGTGATATCTATATAGTATATATTTGGAAATGTGTATTATTAATTCTCTTAGAATCGAAAAATCGTCTACTTTCCCGCGATTTTACATTACACGATGATCTGCGAGGTCACACCTTTTTGCAATGCGCGCAATAAATATTTGGTAATTTATTATAACGATAGGAATTTAGATTAAACTTTTACAGAATCTTGGATTTCTTAATGCGCATTAACTGTATAGTAACTATTTAGTACTATTAAATTTAATCATAACTATATAATTACTACATAGTTACTGAACATTAAGATATTTAGGTTTCTGTGTAGTAAGTTGCTGCTAAATTTAACGATTTATTATAATATGGTTTTAGATTTCGTATCAATCCAAGTAGATTCTAAATCTACAATATTTTTGTGATAAATTGAAACCGTCCTAGTACCCTAAATATCAGTTACGTATCTGAATCTAAAATTAGCTCCGATATATTATATAATATTTAGAAGCGACTTACAAAAAAATTTTTTCTTTGAAACATTCGAATAATCCAGTAATCGAATCGATAATTTTACAGTAAGTAATATGTTTCTCATAAAATATTATCTCTAATTCTATTGCTGATCTCAATATTATTTGACACCGACTTATTGTCCGGAGCAAAGCGAAGGGCTTATAATTCAATGCGCTTTGATAACTGAAATTTGGTTGAAATTACGTTTTTGATGAATTGTTAACGAAAGAATCAAAGACGTAGTTGTGGTATTTTCCGATTTAACGCCCCTGAAAGCCAAATGACGCATCAAATTCAAACTTATTTTACGAATTTTACCATATTTTGTCGCCATGAGACTCATAAGTCACGACTATAATATGGTTGCTCCGGATATAACGAACTCAAGATACAATGACCTCAAATTTTTAAAATTTCATATAATGATCCGGTATAGAAAGTACCATAGCAATGTTCTATAACGAAACTTTTTTTTTCTCCAGAACCGTCAGTTCGTTATATAAAGAGTTGACTTTACCTTTGTTTTAGATAGAATTACGGCGATACTTTCTTCAAACATAAAAAGGATAATATTTTGTAACTTTAATAAGATTTTTAGTACAATAAAAAAAAAGTTTGTGAAACCTATTTTTAATATTCAAGTAAAAAATAAATAAATAAAATTAAAAATAAAACAAACGGAATTATAATGTTGAATTTAAATATGCGTAACTGATCTTTAGGGTGATGCTAGGTTCATCGCCAGGAAGTCTAAAAACAGAATTCTTTGACAACAGAATGCTGGCTTTAAATGATAATATATGATAAAAACAACGCAGTACGACTATGTTATAGAGCAAATACGGAATCGTTAATGGCACATAACATTCAAATCAAACGTTCAGTATTTTTATAAGGATTCTTAAAATTGAATTTCAAATATAGTTCCTTTATATAAAAAAAGAATGACCAAAATATAATATCAAATAAGAAAATTGTTTTCATAACAGAAAATCATGTCATTCACAATATCTCCAAAATTATCGTAAGCCTCCTAATATCTAATAGTTTAGAGATGCTTTCTGGAAACTGTGTTCCATCCCTTTCAAAATTGACAGATCGAGAATGACTTTCATTTTATCTATGGAAAGAGATTCTTCAGTAACCAAAATTTACATCCTTATAATAAACAAGAAATCGCACCTATTTGGAAGTTTCTTGTTCTTGAATTTTGAGATTCTTTATTTGAATTTCCAATTCATTTATTTCTACCTTTTTTCCTAAAAAGTCTTGAATTTCTTCAGCTCTTAGCACATTGGATAATGGTTTTTTAACTTTTTCTAATAGGTTTCGAGCAAAAGTATTGCCACCTTGTAAAACTTCTTGCTGAGATTCTAGTAAAATTTCTAATAATGATTGATTCTCTTCGTTCAATTTATCTTTAGCATAAGATAATTGGTACTCCAATTTATCTTTAATAACGGCTAATTGGTACTTAAAACTTTCCTCTTCAATTTTTTTAGCTTCTAATTTTAAATCATCAATACTAGTGCTCCCAACATTTCGAATCGTGCTAATCAATCTTTCTACTTGACCTTTTAATACATTATCATCTAAATCGATCAAGATTCTTTTGTTATGGCTTAAATTAAGTTCTTTATAATTTGTTTTACTACGTAAACTTAAATAACCAAATTGATTATAGGTCAAATTAACTTCTTGAAGAGCAGAGTTCTCTTTAATATTTAAATTATCAAGTGTGGTATAAGTAATTGTTAAAGTAGTTAGCTTATTACATTTATCAATCTTCAAATTAGTTAACCTTTGCTGTCCCCCTTCATCCGATCCACCTTGGATATATAAATCTTGCAAATTAATATAGCTATTAAGATTTAACTCTCCTTTCAAAATAGTTTTATAGAACTTGTAAGTTGAATGGTCAGGATTGCTGGTTTGGTAATTTTGGTAGCAATAATTACAACGGTAGGAATCGGCTAGACGGTTATGACCGCTTTGGCATTGTCTGTAAAAATGAAGAGTTGTCACTTGCGCTCTTTGGTCTTCAAGAATTTTTTCATTTAACCATTCGTTTGCATCTACCATGCTTTATAATGCTAATCAGAATTATTTCCACTTTTTGTTGTTTAAATGTGAGTAATGCACATGGAAAACCTGTACCAGGAACGGAGTGAAACTAAGTGTATGGTTATACGGAGAGTGATATGTGTTGTGTACAAATACGGAAATGGTATAGTATCCTGATTTATCTGGCACGTGTTATATATGCAGGCTTGCGACATTAGTAGCTCGGGAGAATATACCGACACAGCATGCACGTGATTTATCTCCGTTATCGGCACAGCAAATGATCGACATGAGTACCCCATTTCTAATCTAATTATATTATTGTCGTTCATATCAAACATAATAAGCAGTGGTCCAAAAAAAAAAAACTATCGTCATTATACATATTAAACAATTAAAATGTATTTAGTCAGTTATATTCTAAGCAGTAGTACTGTACAAACTACGTATCGGTATGTAGTATCAATTTGCAGAATGCTATTTAATTTTTATTGAATTTTATGATCTATTTAAAAATGCAAGTTATATCACTATTGTTATTTTCATAAAAAAGATAAACTATGCAAAGAGTTTTAACCAATGGTCTTCAAGGCCATATCTACGGCAAATAACTACATGCTGCACTAGGGTATTTCATATATTAAGTAATCAGGTCTATATGAGGTATCATAATAAAATTTACTAGTACAGATTTTTTACGTATTATTTGACAATTCTGCACCCATGCAGATTCTAACTATACCCTGGTAATGTTATTTAACTAATAAAATTCAAGATCTATGTGTAACGAAAAAAAAATTATGATCGATATTATTGCCATTACATAAAACTTAATAATAAAAACTTTTAAAAAAAACTTTTAAAAAAAATTTTAACAACATGTAAATAATTCTTTAAAAAGATTATTTGCAGTTTGTTCTTGCTTGAGATCTGATTGGAGAACTAATGAAGCGGAATCTTGTTGCTTGTAAGCCATTCTATTTTCGTTTCGAATCACCTTTAGTTGTTCATTAGTAAATTGAAATTCTTCTATTTCAGCTGTTGACAGGTGCATTTTAGATTGCTGGGTCTCAGCATTCATATTGGGGTGAGTCTTCAAATCCCACTTGTTAAATAAGCTTTCGATCTGTTGCTGATGAATAATAATATACCAAATCTTGTTTTTAACAAAGTCATAGAGCCGTGGACATTGGTGAAGTAGAAACGTCAATTCATTAACAAATAAGCTAAATTCTTGAAAGAATAATTCTTCTGTTAATGCATTTTTAAACCCAAAATCATTAAAGTTTTTTTCTACAATGTCTTTTTCAAGAAACTTTGCATAGCAAAGTTCTTCTAGACTAGGAACCTTTGGCCAAGACTTTTTAAAAACAACATGCCAGTAACTACGTGCAAATTGTTTGGCATTATCTCCACCAAGACAACACATGATTAAAGGAAGGTGAAGCCAACAATTTAACTATTTTTGATGTAATTTGAGACCTTTTTGTATTCCGTGCTCTAATCTTTGAACTAATAATTCAATTTCTGAATCATTCATAAATTCCATACTCTCCAAAAACTCATTGCTAAAAAACAGATAAGGATTTTCTAAGATACTTGTAAGCTTGCGTGTTGAGTTAATAACGAAATCTGGCATCTGATGAGCCCGATGACCAGATGGCAAACACTGTAATAAATTATCAGATTGTACAACTCATGGTTAAGGATCATAATCGACGAGAAATTCAGCATATGGGTGGTAAAATTCTTGGCCAAATTTAACTAAACATTGTATTTCAATGTTTAGTTTAGAATTGTTTAACCAATTCTTAAGTAATTCCTATTTTTCAATATAAGATTGTGGTGCTTTTTTTAGAGTTTTTAGCTTTAGAAGAAACCACTCAATGAATTGAATATAAATTTTATGTCTTTCAAGGTATTGTTCAGCTGTAATTAATTCATATTGCCACCTTGATCGTAACAGGTGTTGATATTTATCTAATTTGTAATCAAGTCGTGTTTTATAAAGATTTCTAATTGTTTCACTTTTCATATTTAAAGGTGAATCCTTATCACTATTATTATACCCATCATGCAACATCCATACCAAATAAAGAAGATTAAATGGGTGTCGTGTTTTTGAGAACCTGGTATTTATTAAAAGCTTACCGAAGGCCACTTCCTCAAAATTGTTTAGGATTAGATGTAATACATGTAATCCACAGGGAATTCTAATACAATCGCTTTTAGTTAACTGATTAAATTTTGCTATAGCACCTCCAATGTGGCAGCTCATATAATTTGTGTTATCTGAAAAAAAAGTAAGACATCATGAAACATCAAGGTTATATTTAGCACAAGATTCAACAAGAGCTTGGCTGACCGTATCAGAATTACAATGTTGAAGATCTTTTGTCTCTAATAATATGAAATCAGATATATTTTTTGTAGAATTCCAAAACATAAAACAATTTACTAATATCTTTTTTTTCACCATGACCAGACTCGTCAACCATTATTCTAAATGTAAAATAAGTTGATTGATTGGGTTGCTGGAATATGTTTCTCACATGTAACTCAGATACTTCACGATGCCAACGGCTAATAGTCACTGCAGAAATCCAGGATTGTGAATTATCTTCTGTTAAAAAATTAAAAATGGTATTTATACTAGCTACCATAGTATTAAAAGATATTTGGCCAATCTGGAAACTTGTAGAGTAAGTCCAATGAAGTTCACGTTATACTCTTTTTTATTTTTTTTTATCAAATTTCTAATCGCGACTTTTATATCATTGCCTTTTAATTCTAATGGGCATTGGGTTACTGCGTGAATTTGAGATACATGTCGACGACATTTGTGCTTAAATTGTGCTATGGAACTGTTAAGCTTCCTAACTTTATGTTGTGATTTTTGAATCTTATTTTTGAGCTGTTTGTTATTGTGGCTTAATTCTTGTACCGATTCTCCAGGTTTATAAAGAGAATCAGATATATATTGAGAAGCCTTTTTTTGAATATATGGAGATATAATTCGATCTTAATTTTTTCCATGTGAGTATCTCATATTCCGCAAAAGATGAGACATTGTCTTAAGATCTGTTTCGGGCATAACGTTAAGAGTATGAATTATTGTGTTATATGTAGGGGTATTAATATTCGAGTTATTAAAGATTTTATCATATATAATTTGAAGTTCTTTAATAGAAATTGTTTTTAAATGCTTGGTTATTTCATCAATAAATTTTGTGCACAAATTTGTCTCACGCTTTTTGGCCATTAATTTAAGTGCATTTTTTAATTGCACTTTACGCTTTGACACAGTCATTTTGACAAAAAGTTAGATTTAAAACACGATGTTTGGAAAATTATAATATGCGAAAACTGTTTCAAGGTATTCTTGATACATTTTTAAATCTTTATTAACAAAAGCCAACTCAAAACAAACACGCATATTTTTTTAGTTAGAATTTTTAATGATCACAAAAGTTAGATTTTAAAACAGTCCTGCATTAAAACTAACATAATAATTTTTAATAAAATTTTACGTATAATATGATTAAAAACCTTTTTACACAATTATGATTTTTAATTTTGGTTATCAAGACCAATTCATATAACAAACACATATGATTTTTTAATTAGAATATTTAAGATCATAAAAGTTGATTTTAAAATGGTCCTGCATTAAAACTATCATAATAACTTTTAATAAAACTTTATATACAATATGGTTAAGAACCTCTTCACACAATTATGATTTTAAATTTTTGGTTATCAAGACCAATTCACGACAAATGCTTATCTTTTAGCCAGAGCATATGTGGCAAAATAAAAGAAAAAATTCCTACTAATAGAATAATCAAAAATGATCAATTAATTAAAGATTTTAAATCGTAACTTCATTTGGCTATATCATGCCAATTGTTTGCTACAAAAATTGTTTTAAAAAAATTATTTGTGCATGAATTACACCAATTTTTTGATCGCTTTTTTTCATAGTAATTTACTAGTAAAGATGTATCAATTTTGCTGATCAATTTTATGCATAAAATCTGACCATAGTAACATTGTTAATTGATCTTACATCATTTTGCCTAATTAGTATTTGAAATACTCCAATGCTGCACATTAACTATTGGCCAATTTACTTTGGCATAATTTTTTATGTTTACATATACGATATGGTTGCCATTAATAAAATGCAACATAATCGGGTTCCTTCTATGTATTGGCACTGATTCTAATGGAAAAAACATTGTGCACTGTTCATCCTTTTCATCAAATATAGCAATAGGAACAGAAAAAGTGTCAACGGTCAATTGTGCATAATCAGGTGATAAAAACCAAAACAAAGATGAACATGATGATTTTTGAGACTCTAATATCTGTTTAAGTAAATTGATATTATAGCCTAGCCAATCCTTATAAATCTTCATATGCTTATTCAGTTGATTATTCATAGCCAATTTAACAAGATTCCAATTTTTCTTATTTTTTTTAATAGCAATAACAAGTGCATAGAATCCACAATTACCATCACTTTTTGGATTATAAATTTGATTCACATCATCAGTAGGAATTTGAGAATTCAATAATATTTTTGGTCTCTTATCTATAAATAATAATAAATTAATAAGGTGTATACTATGATAATACTATATACTGTATAGTTAAAATAACTATTACCATCATTATAAACTGTTAAACTGTTTTGCAAAATATCAACCTTTTTAATTTGTTTTTTTTTAATGACACTAATTTTTTTTTTGTTTTTGCTTTGATTTGTTCTACTGCAATTGGTAATTGCTTAGTTTCAGAAGGGCATTCTTTTTTAGTAATTTGTTCTGAAATCTTGATTTCAGAAAGTTTAGTTTTGAGCATTGCTAAAACATTATCAAGTTTTTTTAAAAGAATCGATTTTTGTGTTCATCTAGAAAATTCATGTATCGTGTTTCAATTTTTTATATAACTGAGACTTAAATAAAGATAATCAACCTCAATTGAAGATAAGTCTTCTGTAAGAAAATTAAAATCATTTTGATCTTGGTCAAAAATAATAGCCATCTTTTTGAAATCACTGATAGCTCAATGGAACCTTTTAATGGAAGCATATATTAACAAGATATGTTATAATTAACACACAATTCACACAAACAGGCCTTATACATAGTTATGCTAAGTAGCTTATTTTTGATCTTATTCAAGGCAAATTGTGATACTTTTCCTAAAAGCAGTTTTAATCAATTCTTATCATCCCATGTTAATAGAGTATCAACATTTATACCTTCATTCTTATATTGTAGCAGAAGTTTCTCATAATGCAATCTTAACTATTTATCTAATGAATTAAAGAACTTCATTAAACTTTCCAAACTCTCAATAGCATATTTCATAGCTGAATGAGCTCCTTTGACACATTGTGTCATTGTAGCACTAAAGTGCATTTTTCTGCTAATGTAAATTCCAACTCACTTTTCTTTAACTTTCATCATTCTTTAAAATTTAAATATATTTAATTAATAATATATATAAAATATGGTATAGATTAGCTTAAGGATTGATTTAATATTTTCCTATCAAGATACTTTATTACTTTACTTTTATTAAAACTTAATGTGGCCAGTGTTTTATATGAAGCAATTGCCAAATTTAACATCTCATAATCTCTCAAATTGATAATACAATCTACAATTTTTATTATTTCATCAAAAGAATTATCTGTGAAGTGTTTTCTTAAATTTTTCTTGAAGTTATTCAAAATATGCCAAGTGCACAAGAGATTTTCAGATTTTGAAAAAATTTTTTTAAGAGCTCCAATAAGTGCAGCATTATTATTTGTAATGAATACAAGCAGAAAAATATTAAAAAATATAATGGAAGCAAGCTGTTCAACTACCCAGGCATATGACTTTTTGGATTTATCAGAGATCCAGACACTAGCAATTCCAAAGGTTTGTAATTGGTTAACTTCAAGATTGCTAATGCCTACAAAATTTACAAATTGCAGTTTATAAATATTTATTTTGTAGGTTGCATTAATTAGAATAACTTCTGAAAAGCATTTTGCAGTTTAAACTGAATTTTCATAGCAGAAAAAGAGATGCTTAATACGTTTATCTGTATTAATTCAACATTATATAAGAATTTCTAAAATAATTTTAATAAAATAAAGAACAAAATCCTTCCAAATCTGTACTTACAACTAATAACAAACAAATTAACTATACCCCTATAATATACAATAACCACCTTCTCAATCTTCATTTACCAAATGAATCATTCAAATTCCTTGGATGCTGGTTTACACTCAATAACAAACAAGCCAAACAAACCAAACTTATCACTGCAGAATCA